TAGAAGCTAGAGAGGGATGTATCGTTCTGTCCTATAAACTTCATAATCAGATAGAAAATGGGTAAAGAACCAAGAGCTTCAAAAAAAAAAAAAAAAGGAGCATCTAAACAAAGTTGTCGTTCAAAAAAGATTTTTTTGGCTTGAGAGGATAAAATGAATAGATTTCGTGATGAAATTTAGGCGAGATAAGGTCTGGATCACGTGAACCAATAAGAAAAGTTTGGGGCATTCTCTTGAGAGTTATGTTTTCCAACGAATTTTTCGGACTTATTTCTTGGGCTACAATCTACGAAAAGGCCTGAAATCAGTCATTACTCCTACCTTGAAACACAATCATAAAACAAAAGTCAACTAAGAACCAAGAATCTCAGAGTTAAGGTCTTAAGAATAGAACCAAGGTTAAGATTTTGGAGTCCAAGACCACGGTCCTTATCCTAGATTATGACATGAACTCATAACACAAGAACATAACCTAAGGGCCTAAGTTCTCAGGCGAATAACAAGAACATGACTAGAAAAGAGTGTGGTATCCTAACATACCTTATCGACACGATTAAAAGCCTACAAATAGGCTACTTACTGAGTCTTTGTACTCATTCAAGTTTCCTCAGGTTTTTTAAGTGACAGAAAGGAGCAGATCGAAGATGGAAGCAAATCTAGAGCCGTGTCATAGAATGCCACTCCATGTTTTAACTATTTGAATATTTTAAGTTGTATTATTTAATAGGCCAAATGTATTCAAACTATCATTTTTTATTCGTAAATAAATTGTATTTATGTTTCGTGTTAAATGCGAAAAATTGTATCATCCTTTCATTTAGTCTTTTATATTTTTTATTATGTTTTACTTAGTTAAGCTCGAGTAAAAAACTTGGGTCGTGACATGGTTGTATTAGAGCAAAGATTCTCTAAGAAAGTACAACTTATTACGACTAATTCAAAGAGGAGAAATTACGGTGCATTACATTTTGTAACTCGTAATCTTTTTGTTCCATTCATAATAAGTAAAAACTCATTGAATTCCCAGCTTGCAATGTATTATCTTCGACAAAAAAAAATAAAAAATTGTTGTAATAAAAATCTTTAATTAACGAACTTTACAGCACTCTTTAGAGCACGATTCGTGACTTGTGAAAACACGGTAAAATTTACCACGAAATAAAAATAAGGTATTTAAAACATAATTTCATACCATATTTACACTATATTAAAGGAGTGTGCATACAAAACATAGTTTTAGTAAATAAATAAAAAATAAGAAACATGCTCAAGAATATTTCAAAATAGAATAAAGTTTGAGGAGGTGTAGCTGATTTATGACTCTCGCTCCAAAATCTGCCTCCATCCACGACTAGCTCCTGAAAAACATAGAGTGAGTACAAAGACTTAGTAAGTAGCCTACTTTTAGGCTTTTAATCGTATCCTTAAGCTGGGTACTATAAATTCTTGAGTGTCTCGGGACGTAGTACACAAACTTAACTTTGCTCATATCACATGGTCAACTTATTAAAAACATTCCCTAAAGTGGCTTTTAGATTACTCCCCATGTAAGACCGCATGGTCTCGTGGTTCTTGTAAACTTGATCATGACATCTTTCTAGTAATACATGATCGAGGGATCTCATCTAGAAGAGGGAAACAAGAGGCCCATTATGGCATCCTACTCATGAAACATGATGTAGGGTGTCACAGTCATGCTTGTCCAAGACAAGTTACCTATAGCTGCATGTCGGATGTTCCCATTATGCTTATCCAAGACGTGTTATCCATGGCTGCCTGCTGGTTTCAACCCCTTTTACTTGTTTGTTCGATTGACCTTTACTATTCTTTTTGTGTCATTATGGGGGTGTAAGACAAGTCACCAAAATCATGTCTACACACGCTAGGGCTAAAATTCTCCAAAATGTACTTGGTAGATGTGACTTGTCAATTCTTTCTACCAATATTATATGCTATCATAGTCATTGTGGTATTTTAATGTCACTAAATGCATAACTACTTTCACCAAAATATTTATTACGAAAGAAAACCAAGATAAGTGTACCTTTCACCTTAACAATTTATTAACTTTTACCTTAATAATTAAATACAGAAATAAATAAGACATTTTTAATTTAGAGAGTGATAATGCATTCACATGAATTCAAATTTAGATTTTCCTTTCCCATTTAAAACTTCTACCAAATATATATTCATCCTTGTCTCCTTTTAAAATTCAAATTAAATTGACGTGGGGTTACACTTTTGAGTTTTATTTTTTATTTTTTATTTTTTTTTTATAGAAAAATCCAAACTCGAGTTAGGTGAATCATTTTTTTTAGAAAAATTCCAAACCCGAGTTAGGTGTGCAATTTTAATTTCTTAGCAAGGTTTTTAAGGTTAGAAGGAAAAAAGTCATTTTTAAAATGTGTACTATGACATGAATGAAAGGAAGAAGGAAATGATTCTTATTGTAGGCTATAATTTTAAGCTATAGATGCCTCATGCATTTATGTATGTCACGTGCATCGTGATCCTCGTCATGCTATATTAGTAAATACACGTACATTCGATATTTATGTTCGTCATGATATCATATGGGTCTTTCCGTTCGTGGTGTCTAGCAACGCGTTTAACCTAACAAGTCATGGTCAAAGGTACGTATACGAGCCCATCTGGTGGGTTCATATGCACATGCATGGGTCGTGTGTGGGAAAGAACTACACATCCAACCCCATGCCCAGACTAAAATGATAATGTAAGATAATGTAAGATTATAATTATTTTTAGTTGTATTAAAGATAATGTAAGATTCCAAGTAAATTTAGGCAACTCAAGTTCGTTTAAGGTGCCCACGAGACGTTTAAATTATAGAAGAAAAAGAATTAAAAGACTCGAGCTATGACAAGGGGCCTAAGTAAGCAATCTCAATACCCTCCTCAGGAATTATAAGAATTGAAGACCTTTGAAAAAGTTTCTATGCATAAAGGGCAAAAAGATAATTTTTCTAAATTTTTAAACAATTAGGTTTTTAAACAAGGAAAAAATGACCTAAAAAAAAACAAATTAAATGATATTTTAAAAAATTTTAATCTTTTCACAAAAAATAATAATAAAATATTCTAAAAATGGAGAATTACCAAAATACTCGTGAGTTTAAAATATTTATAAACTAAAGTGGTCGGCACCCGTAACTTATGCTCAAACCTCTGGCCCCAATTTGAGAAGAAAGTTTTAGAAAGCGGGGGCAAAAAGAATTTGAAAGAGAGTTTGAAAGAAACGTTGAGTGAGATTTAAAACGTGTTATATGGCATACAAGAAAAGAACAACAACAACGACTTTATAGTTTTTCGGATAGAGAGAATTTGACAACTAGTCACATCTCCCTATAGTATATTCTGGGACATTTCATGTCAAATAAGGGTAGACATGATTTTGCGGAGATGTCATACTCTTAGAAGAAACAAGAAGGAAATTATACAACATGAAAGCAGTAAAGGAAAGATATAAGGTGATACGAGGTAAGGGTTTCGGCATGCAACGGACATGCAGCCATGGGCAACACATCTTGGAAAAGCATGACCATGACACTTGACATGTTCCATGTTCCAATCGTCGGTACCCATCATCGACGTCAAGTATGTCATACATAAGATAAGAAAAGAGAAATTTTAATGATATTTATTGTGGTCAACTTTTAAGTATTAATGTCATGTAGAATGAAAAATTGATGAGCTATAATTATATAACTTATTGCATCATGATTTAGTTTCGCTATTATATGTTTGCTATGTTGTATGATTTTGATAATGTGTAATATGATATGGTTATGTTAGTAAGTGATAGACTTAAATAGAATTATCTTAGTTTTTAGAACTATTCACCCAGAGGACGTGGAAGAGGAAGACGAGAAAGGGGACAACCCCCTATTAGAGGTAGGGGAAGAGGAGAGGCTAAAGAGAGCCCACCTCAAGAAGGTTCAGTAACTAAGACAGAAACAATTGCGCCTCCTCAAGCTGGACTGCTCCAAGTTGCACCACCTCCTACAGAACCAACGGCTAGAATACATCCCACTACTAGTCTGAGAACGCGCATGTTGATCCAACAGTACTAACGATGACACACATGTTGATCAAGCATGCCAATGAGAACACGCTACATGTCGTTATGAGAATAATCGTAAAAGTTCTTATGCTTCCAAGAATTAAACGCACATTGTAGGATTCGAACCATCCGACTAGCATGTGCCATGTGTCACACAGTTAGTGCGACTCTCTTACCTTAGCTGATTGGTCCTTGCACGTGGTAAACTCATATTCACGTGTAATTAAGAATTTTTACACTAAGGTGTTTTAACGTAAATAAATGCATATCTATTTTCACCAAAAGATTTATTATTGTTTCGAACTTGTACCCATGAATTCATTATGAGAAATAAAAATAGGGCACGTCTACTTTCCACGCTAGGAAATTATAATTAAATATAAAAAAAAATTCTAAAATTAGTCCAATAAAAATGTGATGAAAATTGTAAATCTAGTAAAGACATGGAGTGTCCATTAATGCATAACCACTCTTTTTAAAATGAGGTGTCAACCAATTTTGTCTCATATGTTATGAAAGTTTTTATTATTTTTGTAGTTCTATCTAAAGTTTGAAATTTGATTTTATTTTATAAAAATTCTTATGAGACTATTTTATAGGTTCGAATTTATTGCATTTGAAACGTTTGATTTTTAACAAATTATTTATGAAATATTTAAAATTTTAAGTATTTAGCTTTAGGAGGAAAGGTTGAGAGGAAATTTCTTATACCATACCTATATTGCAATGAAAAAAAGATAGTAATTTTTTTGTCACTATTGTGACAATAGAGAACACATAAAAGGACAAAAGATCATATTTGGGTTCCACCAATCTTATTTATGATGGTTGATAACCTTATTTAAAGCCAACCTCCTAGATAATAACTAAGAGAGAATGATTGGTGTCAACCCAAAGCAATTGACGGCAGTATAAATTCCATCATCGTAATAATTAGTCACTTGGTCCCCATTCATAAGAGTGTCACGTTGAGTATACGAATATGGGACATCGCATTGACCTTTTGTTGCGAGTAGACTCACTCTCACCCTAGACATGGGTGGCACAGTTACCGTGTAAACAGTCTCTATCTCAGATGATTTTGATTTAGTTTCTCTCCATGTATATTCACCAGAAAACTCCGCAGACATTTCAATTTTTCTCTCTGCAATTAGTGGAATACCCGTTTGAACTGTTGTCTGTACACAGAGTTTAGCAGAAACAGTGGAAGACCATCTATTACTCTCAAAAATCGTGTAACAAAGCTTCATATCTATAGTGTTTTCTTTACTGGAATTATTGCTAGCATCTCCATTGGCCATGGTGATGACATGTTGTCCATAAATTCGTGCATTCAAAAGATGAAATATGACATTATAGATGCTTCTGGAAAGAACCAACTCTTGTATCTCCAAGCGTGCTTCCTTAGTGATGGTGGGGACACCAGCATTAAGACAATTTGTCTTACCCTCTGTTGTGAGCCTCTTACAAAAATAATTGTTACCCAAATTACGAAGCGCCACAAACTTGTTATCAACTTTTACAGGCCAAAATAATGTATCTTTGTTATTTCCAGTGGTGTCATTTAAATCTGCCCAAATCCAATTTGGACTCCGTCTCCATAATTTTCCAAAGTGATTAGACTTAATACGAACATTTCCATCATTTGTTGTTGAAACTTCATTTCCCACTTTTGGGTCTCCAATATCATTAGCGAGAATTGGAGATATGGAAGGCCTTGAAACCAACATGCCTGAATGTAACTTCCATTGTCACCTTTAAATGCAACATATTTGGGTAAAACGTATCATGATTCCCAATCAAGGGCAATATGAAGATCGCAAAGGTTGGCGTCTAGAGTTGAATAACCCATATACAAGCACCTATCCCGAGCTAACCACCCCTCCAACTACACGTATTGTAGCCAAAGTAGACATGCTTAATTCGATAGGCTTGATGATACGGAGCAAAGACAGGTTCAAATAGCGTACACGCCCAATTGAATTTATTTCGTATGTCATGATTGAATTGACTATGACACTAAACAAATCAATACAACCTCATTTTGAATTTTTTAGAGAGAATAATGTTTTTCTTGTATTTATATTCTCTCTTTCGTTCTAAAAACTATGAGAAAAAGTAATGGGTAGAATTCACATGAATGGATATGCTAAGAGGAAAGAAAGAAGAACAAACGGAACTAATACATATCAAGAGGTTAATTTAAAATGTATTAACTACGATCACCAAAATATTTATTAATATTTCAAATTTTTATTCTAAGAATTTATTATCGAAAATAATAATTAGAACACGTATGTCTTCCACACTAAGAATTTATTAACTTTTACTTTAATAATTAAATGAGTCACTAATATACTAAAGTGTTTTAATGTCACTTTCCATCCGCCAGAGTTATTAACACATTCATATTGATTCAAATTTAGATTATCCTTTCACATTTGAAATTTCTAATACTTCAATTCAAACTTAAATGATGTGCTTTTCACTTTATAGTCATTTTTTTATAGAAAAATTCAACCTGGAGTTAGGTGAGGATGATGGCCATGCGGGTAAATGTAATTAAATTAATTACAACAAATATATGTAAGGTATCCTGTAACACCCAAAGTAAAGTTAAATGTAATTCAAAGGTGTTATGATCGCACAACAATATATACATTCAACCAATATGACACAAACCAACATGACACAAAGAAAAGGAATATTGACTGAAAGTTTTATTGATGATTTCAGTTACGTACAAAAGTACACCAAATGAAGAAAAGTATATTTTGAAATCACTTACTAATGGGTATATAAATGGTTTCAGTTTACTAAATATAGATCTATCAAATCTTTATTAAATATCTAATGTTTATGAACATCTTCTATATATATCTATACCTTGTCTAAATATGTACCCTCTATCTTTTCCAGGCTACATGTTCTTAATCAGTAATCAAGAAAAAATAAAAGAAATAAAAAAAATCAAGACATTTAAACGAGCACAAAGGTTTTAAGCCAGCCATTTCAATACCCTAATAAATAATCTGAGGTATTTAAGCGTTTAGAAAAGGATGGAAATGAAAAATAAGCATAAAGGAAAAAAAAAAATAAATAAATAATTTTTCCAATTTTTTTTAGGAGCTTTCCGAATTTTAATTGTTTATTGAAAAAGCATTTCAAGGAGGACAAGAAAGAAAAAAAAGAAAAGAAAAGAAATGAGAAATAAACAAAATATCCTTAAACTTCGAGATAATTACGAAAATGTCACGAATTAGAAAATCAGATACGCGGTGGTGAGAAGTGATAAACAAATCTCTCGCATCTTCAAATCCAACTTTTGGATCTTTACAAAATTTGAGTATGTTCTAGAGAAGGCACAACTCATCACATCCAACGACAAGATTTCAAATTGGAGGTCGGTTGCTCATTGAACGAAGAGGATATTTTCGATGAGAAATCTAGAAAACTCAATCTCCAAATCACAACGATTATGGAGGTATCAACATCAATTTAAGCTTCTTGTATAAAGTTTGAAGTTGGGGCATTCATAGGAACAAGAATTGAGCAAGGTCGAGCTCTCACTCGTGAGTTATAACTGTTTAGTTTTTGGGTTTCCTACTCTCGGATTTCTTTCAAATACTAGAGCAATTGTCTAGCATTTTCCTTGAAACTTGTTCCTACAGCTTCTACACAAGATTACCCACGAGTTTTATGAAGGAATCGAGTGTTGAAAGAGCATAGAATTCACTCCTTCGATCATTGCCACCGTTGAAGAAGTTCAAAGTAAGCTTGAAAATCGAATCCGAGCTTACAAGTAAATTTTTCGTGCAAAGAAAATTTCATCCAGTTTTTACATCTTCAAAGAATATTTACATAGAAGACAACAAAGAGAATTAATCTCAAGAACATGTTCAATCCAAGAAAATCAGCTTCCCCTCTAATTTTGGAGCAAGTATCAAATTCCTATCTACTATCCACTTTTCTTAAAATTAAACATACGTATCTCCAAAGAATTGAGATAAACAATTTTGATGAAGAAATCAAGAGCCAAAACATCCTAGATCAAGCTACCCAAGAGATCGATCCTTTGCATTTCAGAGTGAATTAAGGTACTTTCTTAGAATTTTTTTTAAGGATCGAAGACCTTTCAACAAGGTTTGAAAATGAAATAATAAGCGTACAAGGGTAAAAAAGTCATTTTTTGAATTTTAAAGAAAATTCTTGAAATTTTAACTCCTTATGGAAAAGGAACTTACAAATGTTCCAAAAACGAAAAATGACAGAGTAGTAAGGGATTTTTTAAGAAAAAAAATTGTATTTTTTAAATAAAATATTAAAAAAGTGGAAAATTATCAAAATACCCCAAACGACCAATTATTTCAAATTCAAAGCTTATGGAAATTCAACGTCTCCATCACCCAACATTTTAATCACAACCCTTAGATTAGATACGATGGCCTATAGATCCAATGGTCAGAATTTACCAAGCAGCTAATGGAGATGATTTTTTTCGGCGAATTGTCTCGATATTTAAACTCAAAATTAGCTCAATTGTGGATATTTCTATTCAAACAATTCTTGAGCTACAAACAAAGAAGTGGAGAGAATCATTTAAGTTAACTTAAATTTCAAGAGGTGAGTTTGGACTAACTTCAAGTATTAAATAGTGACGTTAACTTAAGCTATCCAGATGAGTGGCTTCACTACTGGTTTGGTCAGATAAATTGTTTGAAGTTGAATGGTGCATGTCCTATGGCCCTTGTATGTGTTGTATCTTGTGATTGATATGTTTGCTTATTATGATATGATGCATTGTTACTATGAGATATGTCATAATATGAAACACCATGTTAATACGTTTTGTCATTGATGAATGTGATATTGTATGTTCATATGTATCAAGATACTTTTTCGTTATGATTAGTATAGATGCACAGACTACAACGATACGATACAGTACCATGTACACCATTACTTTTTCGTTATGTTATGCTATGTCATGTAATGTGAAACCATGTTATAGATTATACTATACCAATGATGATGCAAGATGAAAGCCATGATGAGTGACTATGCATACATGACTTATATGTGTACTATGACATGAATAAAAGGAAGAACGAAATGATTCTTATTGTAGGCTATAATTTTAAGCCATAAAAGCCTCATGCATTTATGTATGTCACGTGCATCGTGATACTTTCTCGTTACGCGATATTAGTATATACGCGTACAATCGATATTTATGTTTGTCATGATATCATACGGGTCTTTCCCTTCATGGTCTCTAGCAACGCGTCAGCACGTTAGCCTAACAAGTCAGGGCCAAGGGTATGTATATAAGCCCGTCTGATGGGTCCATGTGCACATGTATGAGTTATATGTGGGAAAGGACTTCATATCCAACCCATGCCCAGATTAAAAAGAACTCAAGGTCATGATAAGTTGTTTTAAAATATAATTTGTGCATTTCATCTTTTCTTTTAATTCGTCCTTAACCTAATTAAGACTTTGTACACTATAGTGTTTTAATGTCGTTGAATAAATAATTACTTTCATCAAAATATTTATTAATGTTTCAAACTTTTACTTTAAGAATTTATTATTGAAAATAAAAATTCGAACATTTAGGTAAAAATTAATGCATTCACATCGATTCTAGAAATAATCAAAATTATAGTTACTTTTAGTTATATGAAAGATATTACGATCTCAAGTAAAGTTTAGACAACTCAAATATGTTTAAGGTGCCTACGAAAGGTTTAAAGTACAGAGGAAAAAGAATTAAGAGACTCAAACAACAGTAAGGGGCCTAAGTAAGCAAATCTCAATACATTCATAAAGAATTATAAAGATTCAATACCTTTTGAAAAAGTTTCAATGCATAACTTTGAAAAACCTTTGAAAACCATAAGTATAAAGGGCAAAATGATAATTTTTCTAAATTTTAAAACAATTCTCAGATTTTTAATTCTTTATGGACAAGGAATTTGAGGATTTTAAACAAGGAAAAAATGACGACGACCACCGAACAAAAAAAAAATCTTTTCCGAAAACATAATAATAAAATATTCTAAGATGGTAAATTACCAAAATACCCCTAAGTTAAAAATATTTATAAACTACAGTGAGTTGGCCAACGTATGCTCAAGCCTCTCGCCCTAATTTGAGAAGAAAGTTTTAGAAAGTGGGGGCAAAGAGATTTTGAAAGAGAGTTTGAAAGTAAGATTGAGAGAGATTGAAAATGATGTTATATGGCTTACGAGAAAAAGACAACAACGACTTAAATTACATATAGTTTTTCGAGTAGGGAGAATTTGACAACTAGTCACATCTCCCTCTACTACATTTCTAGGACATTTCATGTCTACTAGGCGTAGACATGATTTTGTTCAGATGTTATACTCTTAGAAAAAACAAGAAGGAAATTCTACAACATGAAAGCAGTAAAGGAAAGCGAAAAAGTGATACAAGGTAAGGGTTTCGGCATGTAACGGATATGCGGCCATGGACAACACACCTTGGAAAAGCATAACCATGACACTTGACATGTTCCATGGTCCAATCGTCGATACCCCGTCATCGTCAGATATGTCATACATAAAATAAGAAAAGATAAATGTTTTAATGATATTTATTGTGATCGACTCTAAGTATTAATGTCATGTAGAATGAAAAATTGATGAGTTATAATTGTATCATTTATTGCATCATGATGCTTGATTTAATTTCGCTATTATATGTTTTCTATGTTGTACGATTTTGATAGTGTGTAATATGATATGGTTATGTCAGTAAA